TTGCCATTGGTAGAGTTTGCTTATAATAATACAATGCATTCTTCTAAGCAAAAAATATTTTTTTTTATTAATTATGATTATCATCTATGACTTAATACTTTTGACTTTTCAAAAGTTGATTATCTTGTGGTAGTAGATTTGATAAATTATTTGTCAGAGCTACATGCAACAATAAAGGTGCAATTAAAGAAAGTTCAAGAACAATAAAAGATGAATGATGATGCCTATCAAAAGAAATAACCACAATTCAACATAGGTGACAAGGTATGGTTACTTCATCATAATATTAAGAGTACTTATTTTTGTGATTAATTAGACTATTGCAGGCTTAGACCTTTTCCTATTTGTAGATAAATAAATTCAATTGTTTATTGATTATATCTATCAAAATCAATGAAGATCCATTCCATATTCCATGTGTCTCTTCTTGAACCATATAAGAATGTGAATACACTAAGAAGAAGACAAGTCCCACTTCCTTCTATAGAAGTAGATAATAATGAAGATTTTGAAGTGGGAGAAGTTCTAGACTCAAGGAGGCACCAAAATAAGTTAGAATATCTTGTCCATTGGCAAAGATATGATATTTAGTGAATGCACATGGAAATTAGTAAAGAATCTTGCAAATGCAGCAAAAGTGGTAGAGGCTTTTTATCGATAATGTCCATCAAAATCAAGATAAAGAATAATAAATCTTTGCTATAAAAAGAATAAGATCTAAAAAAAATTACATACTACCTTCTATCATTGTTTGTAGTTTTAGTATTAAGGAGATAGAAAACCAACAGCTAGCACATTTAACTCAAGAGCCATCATTTACTAACTTATTGAATGAGACATTGAAATTGTTATAACCTTCAAGTCAACGTAATAGGGATGAAGATTGGCAAAAATGACATATTATTCCTAAAATAGATAGCAAGATATAATGAATTTAGTATCATGACCTAAGAAAAGTCTCTCAATGTTTGGTGATTTTATTGGAGGTAGGTACAACTCTTGATGGTGTTACAAATGTTTTGTTTAAAAGAAGTTATAAAGGTTTTAACAATGATCAAATCATAGGGTGGTCTTTCAATCCTGGAATGGAACATTATCAATCGTTGAGAGAACCTATCAATTACTTTTGAAGAGAACAAAGATCAAAGTATGTGGCAAATATAATTTGCCACATTTTAGACTTCTTCAACATACAATCACTGTTCTTTGTAAAACTCATTCCTTAAAATGGAGAATAATGTCATTGATATATATCTACTATAATTATTATCTAAGTAATATGAATAGGTAGAATTAAGCAAAATTTGGTTAATTTCACAATACCTTCTAGAGAAACATCCTAAAAGCTTTTTAGACAATATTTTGACTTTACATATGTTTATATTTGATTGGTAGGTTAGAAACTTAGTCGACAAACTACCCATGTGCCACACGTGTTAGTAGCTTGCAAAATAAGCTAATTATATGGTACCCATATAAGAAACTTGCCTTGCAAGTTAAGATACATGTCATGCAAAGTCAGCACATTTTTGGAGGTCCTATAGAATGTCACCACATAGATCCTAATTAGATAATATATATAGAAGCAAGAGTAAAGCCTTCTTTACTCTTAACTCCTTTCTTATTTCTAGTTTAGTTTTAAGAGTCTTTAGTTTCTTTGTCTTTTAGCAATAGCCATTCCAATTTCTTTTTAATATACATACTTCTCTATTTTTATTTTTGTCAATTTGTTTTACATAGATTTCTTAGATTGATACATCTTTTTTCAATTCATATCCTTAACAATGCTATTCAACTAGGATCTATGTGGTGACATTCTATAAGACCTCTAATAATAAGTTGACTTTACATGACATGTATCTTAACTTATTTGGCAGGTTTTCTATATGAGCGCCATATGTTTAACTTATTCGATAAGCTATCAATACATGTGGCACATGGTTAGCTTGTTGACTAGGCTTTTAATATATCACTCAACTACAAATACATGTAAAGTCAATATAGCATTTAAGAAGCTTTTAGAAAGTTACTTTAAAAGATATCATGAATTTAATTTATTTTTATCTACTTCTTCCTATTCATATTATTTAAATAATAATTATAATAGAGATATATATCCGTGACAATTAACCAAGTTCAATTGCATCATTTCAACATGAATAACTTGGAAAGAAGTACCAACATTAATTTTGTTGGTTGTTAAGATCCTTACTAACAAATAGCTTGTTGCATCAACTATTGTATTCTGGCTGTTGTTTGCATTGATCACATGGCATGTCTATATTTGCATTTTCTTCTTATGAAGTATATCATAGTTTGATCTTAAATAAACATTGATATTTTTTGGATGTGATGGCTCAACTTTTAGTATTAGTGATTTGCTCATTTTTATAAATACAACAAAAGAAAATAGTCTATATCACTTTGTATTAAAGAACGTGTAGTTGTACAATTGTTGAAGTACAAATCTATAACAAAGAACAAAGTCTTTCAAGTCCTTCTTCTAGTGTTGCATAGATCCGCTTAATAAGTAGTTGAATTTGTTGTTGATATTGTTGTTGAAGTTGTTATAGTTTAGTAGTTATAGATATCTAAAAATAAAAATAAAAATAAAAATAAAAATTCTAAATCTACTAATTTAATTTATACTAAATTAGCACTCTTCATGTAGGAATGGCTATAAAAAAAATTTCAAGATCAACAAAATATTCTAAATAATAAGTAGCATATAAAAATTATAAAATCAATATGCTAATTCTTTAATTTATCATTCATCTTTAAGAAGATTCAAAAAACCAATTTTCAAATACACTTTTCTAATTTGGAACTTGCTTAGTTAATCCATAAGTCGTATATAATTGATTTCTTTTCTATTGGTTATTGCTACACTTATAAACAATTACTTAGATGAATATGTGATTTTTAGTAGTTTGCATTGTATATAATTTAGCAATAATCTAATAGCTATAGATTTAGGGTTGAAGGTGGCATTGAAGGTGGCATTTAAAAGTATTTTTTTTGTTGTTGGTGAAAGTAATTATAATATTATTGAATGTATTAAAGAATCTCTATATCTAAATCTACATTAGTTTATCAAAACCTAATAAATCTTATAAAAAACCCTTTTCAACATATCAATTGCCAAATATATATTAATAGATAAATATAAATAAATAATAAAATATATTACATAATATTGTTATAAAGACTAAATCTTTAATATATAAGATATGATATTAATTTATAATTCTATCTTACTAAAAAAAAGTTAAATATCAATAAGAAATATAAAGTAAAATACTGTTGTATTTTTATAAAAAAATAAATTTCTTTCTATAAGTTAAACCTACATCTTATTTAGAAATTCTTTTATATTTTTAAAAAAACAACATAGAAAAATTTAAATAGAATAATTTTTAAAATTAAAATTGATGATAATATTTTTTTAATAAAGGCATTTATTTTATAGTTTTAAATATATTTATCAATATTTATTTGAATTTTTGAATTATTTTATTATAAAAATTATAAATTAATATAGATCCTAAAACTTTAAATTTTTTAAAAAAATATTTAAGATATAAAATAATTTTTTAGAGTCTTTAAAATTAATTAGGTTCTTTATAAAATATCATTATAAAATTAAAACCTTATTATTGAAGTATATAGAAAGAAAAATTAAATTCAATAACAATACTAAACAAACTTAAATTTAGTGAAAGAAGTTTTTACACTACTATCATTATTTACTTATAAAAATTATTAAAAAAATTCAAGAAATTTTACCAATTTTATAATATAGCAACAATAACAAGCCTCAAAAATTTAATGTAGCTATCAAATGTTTCATTTTAGAAAAATAAATTAATTTGAATTTAATTTTAATTGGTAGAATTATTAAAATTATAATTTTAAATTATTTCATTATAAAAAAATTAGGATTAAATATTTTTATATTATTTAAGAGTTCATTAGAATTTTCAAATGTTTATAGGCTACATAAGTCTTATTAGTAAAAAATTCATTAAAATAGAGGCTTGATAAAATATGATAAGATATTTTTAAATTTTTTCTAAGATTAATAAGGTTTATATAGTATAATTAGATATTTAGTTTGTTAAAGAATACCTAAAATGTATTTCTAAACACATTGTGTATTGTTTTTGAGTTGTAAATCTACCTTCAAGATAAGGTCAAATGCTTCTACAACCACATGTCTTTTGCTTTGTAAATTTGTTTTTATATAACATGTCATTTTATTACTTTTTGAAATTGGACCATGTTAAATTGGTCTTTCTAGTTCTCATTATCTTTGAAAACTTGAACAATATATAAGATCTTCTAATAATCATTCAATTTGGTGAATATTTTTTATTGTAGTAATCAATTTAAAATTTATTTCTATAAATGGTTAAAATTATAATATTCAATATTAAATAAACTTCATATTTGCTATTAGTGGCTTGTTAATATTTAATATTTAATATTAATATTTAACTATAACCTATTCATAGTTCGAAGCTTAAAACTAAGAATATATCTAAATATATGTCTGTCTATTTGGATGATTTTGATAACAACTTAAATTGCAGTTAAACAACTCTCGAATAATATCCATTCATGTGCATGTACTCCAATGAATGTCTACCCATTCTTTAGATTTATAATAAACTTTGGTTAAATCTATAATAAAGTTAAAAGATAAAATTGCTTCTCTCCAAAAAACAATTAAAAAATACAAATTTGGTGTCAAAATTAATTTGTCTTTAAAACTTTGAATACAATAGCAATCCATAGGGCATTTTTTGCCAATACAAAAATAAACTTCATTGCTATTACTTCTACTATCTTTGTACAATCACCTACATTATGAATCAACTAAAAGCATAATTGGTATTTTGAAAAAGCTATTAATTAAATAGATCCATACTTAGTATTGTTGATACATCCTAAACCTGCAATGTCTAATGATACATATCATATAAGTCTATATTATTAAATTTGGTGTATATTTGTTTGTTGTTTATTTGGTTAATCACAAGTTTTAGATCACTTGTGACTAGAGCCATATTTGGTATTGTTAGAAAGCTCTTGGAGACCATGAGTGTGCACGGACTTGGTCTCACATGATTCAAAGCTACGACGACAAAAACGTTATTGAATTTTAAAGTATTGTAAAATCAAAAAGAAGTTGAAACTGTGCTGGAATTGCAGCTTCGACACTTCTCGCTTCAACAGTCTGTGACCCTGCACCACCAAATTATACAAATCATAATAATCAACAACGCTCATGCAACTAACATCCAAATCATCAAACAATGAACCACTTATGCAACAAGATGGAGATGCACCACAAAAGGCAAACCATGATTCATATGAACACAAGGAACCTAGACAGATTCACAACATCGTAAGCTTATCTGTTTCTCTTGACATCCCACTATAGTATCATGAGAGAAGTCCCTGCACGAGGTACACTATTCCAGCACATTTTGCATCCATGAGGTGCAGAATAAGATCAAGACTCATCCACATGGTCTACCTTTATGATCAAGAATCGTCCGGAACCTTGTGGTTAAGTACACTAACATGGCTGCTGCGCACTCGCCTGTATCCACACTCATAACGTTCCAGCTGCAAAGTCTTGCAATAGTCCTTACTTCACATGATTTGTCACCACTGTTACCTCTGTGTCATAGGTCGTATGTCGAACTGATATTGTTTGACAATGATGGAGTTCAGCTAGGCTCTTCCGTGGCATTCAAAAATTTGCTTACATCCTCAATTGTTATCTCCTGATCTGGTTTGTGATCTGCAAATGAATATGTATGAACCTATGGATTAGTGCATTCTCCTTTGCATAAAAATCCACAAAGTGCATCAAATATGTAGATGTTGACTTCAACTCAAGCAAATAATGGTGTAACCGAAATTTTACAAATATAATGAACTTGATCAAGTTGTCAGCTTGAAACGTACCTGGAGTTAGGCAGCTGCTAACGACAACCAAATACAAGAACACTGGTTCGCAGGCATCTGCTGGAGCCTACTGGATCCTCATCATATTGTTGTTTACAAGGAAAAACCCTTGCCCCACTCCTGCAATGACCAAGTATGAATGTAGCCAGGTGTTAGTCAGATCAATAAGGCAAAATTTGCACTAGATTTGTCATTAGATTGCTTCCGAAGCTGTATATAATTGTAAGAGACTTGCCTGCGCGAGAAACAGTTCTCTGCTTCGCCGTCGTCCAGCATCACTAGAGGGTAAATGAGCTCTGGTTTGGAGCATTTCATCGATTCATCCACAGATATTACAGAGAAGTATCTTGCCATGTCACTTCAATCGTAAGCCGGACGCTGGTGTCATTGTTCACCTCATAACCACCTACGACAATATTGCCTCGACCATCCAGGTCTGGTTCGAATGCCATGTCCAATGGCAGGTGCAAGGCCCACAACGACTCCCAGTCAATTCAGCAATCTCAACCTTCACTTTGCACTTCTTGTCGCGTCTAGTCTTCATGGAGAGACTCTTCAGTTTGGAGGCCAACGGGTCCTCTCTCAATATCTCAACGCCAGGCTGCCAAATGAAACAACCGAGTCTATATCTCCACTGAAGTCTTAAAATCCACAATGCAATGTATGATCTATCTTGCTGCAAATTCTACATTAACTTCACTTGTCTGTCAGCAATCTTTGATACCTAAGTGACAAAGCAATTCACTGGACTTCAAACGATCAACAACATTTAGTAAATTTGTGTTAGTCCTATATTCCAGATTTGATGATGCAAAAGATAATACACAAAGTCAGATCAAAACATGACGCTTAACCTTTTCTCACTTACCGGATACGTTCGGTCATAAACAACCACATTCTTAGAACTGGCATGATCAACCAAGTCTGGAGGCAACAGGATACAAATGCTTTGCACTATCTCCTTTCTGTAAGCCACCTCCGTCGTTGAATGCTTGCCAAACACAATGCCATTCACAATGCCATTCACCTTTCGCAACGCTCTCACAGCCTCACACCATTTTGCCACATCAATTCGTTTGTCCTCGCTCTCATATTCTTTCCATGTAGACATCCACCGCTCCTTGATAGCCTGATCATCAAGATCGTGAACTGATGACTTGAAGAACAGTGGGAGCAAGTTCAACGCTTGGTTTCCTGCTTGTTCAGCAGCATGACACTCCGACAACTCTATCATTGGCCACTTAGAAATTAAGTAATCTTGAGACAACACTATAACAGCAACATGACAATGTTGGGCTGCCTTTAAAATCAGAGGCGCAAATTCCTTCCCTTTAGGCAAACTGTTGAGTCTTCCATCAAAGAATGGAGAATAACCTTGAGCTTCAAGATCCACACAGAGTTGCTCTACAAAATCCTTCTGCCCTCTGCTATGACTTAAAAATATGTCATGCTTGCTGAGACCAAGCTTGATACTTGGGCTGCAAACTATGCAAAACGGTGAAAACCCCACAGCTTAGGGTGCAAAACCCAACAACATAGTAGGTGAAGATTAAATCTCTGAAAGAATATTGCATGCTACACTAGTAAAATTGGATATTGCATCCAGTGTTGTCTCGAGAGTGCAATTCAACAGGGGTGTCACATTAACCCATCCTCTCAATTCCTCAAATTCCCCAAACTTGGGGACTGCTCATAATCCACCTACAGAGGTAGATCGTGAGTTGTTTCCGACTTACAGGAATGGGCTATTCTGACCAATGGTATTCCTGCTCTGCTGCACTTTGAAATGCCACACGTAGGGGGTGTCACACTCGGACTTTCATTGAGTTTCATAAAAAAAGTCGAGGAATGCTCATTATCTATCTGCCCCTAATTCTATATGCACATTCTGTATCACAATTTACGGTCCCTGCGCAAGAGGTTCACCAGGCATGAGAGAGAGTTTATCTCGAGCCAGCCATGCCCTAAGCATACAGATGAACTCTACAACTCCTCGTCAGATGTGCTCGGGTTGGTATGATTGGAAACCACTGCCAATTATAGGTATGCATCGGTAGTTTCTCCACAAAGGCTTGAAACTGCCCAAGTGAAACTAGTAATTCGACCTAAAACTTCTCGCACTTGACTTGTCCATCCGCATATATAAAACTCCCAACCGACTACTACATACCCTTGAATTCACAAATGTTTCAATACCCGTCTTTCTCAATTCAGATATCAAATTCAACTACAGAGCGGTTTGACGCACCCACAAGATGTGCACAGGACCACGACAGCCTTAAAGTGTTGCTGCTTATTATTATGGGAAACCAGTGAATGGAGATCGTCTGGAATTCGGCTCCACTTCCTTTGAGATTCCCACCATGAGTGAGAAGGATTGTCGCAAACATGACGAGGAAAAGGGAAAATGGGTGAAATACAAGACGAAGGAGGTCTTTGAAGACATATGAAAATAAGGTGCATGCAAGGAAGCCCGCGAACATGGCCAACCGCTCTGTGAAAAGCAACTCTGGTGAGCAAAATGTTGATGCTGGGGACTGGGTTCGATACTGTTCTTTACCTCGGCCTTTGGGTGTCCTTGCAGATGACAATGTTCAGCCCCCAGCATTCCATCCAGTCTCTGTGTCTGAAAAAAAAACCCTTTGAACCCATGTCAGCAGGGTGTCTGTACAAAAGCGTGATGGTTAACCATATACATGCAGAAAAGTCAGGCATTAGAGAAGAATTGGTTGGTGAAATTTCAAAAAATAACTCAGCATGTGTTCATGGAAAATCTCAACCGGGTTGGGTTCCCTGCTGCAACCTGAATAGATACCGTACGAACGGTTGTGCCTAGTGACAAAATTCTTCACATTTGTTGAAACAACGGGACGACACTCGCATTCTTTAACCGACGACGTTTAGTTACACACTTTCTTTTGCATGTTTTCAAATTTAAGCCCATCATATAGTTTATCCCTGCAATGATACCTCTGACTTCTTCCTTCTTGGAAAATCGGTATGTTGGGTAAATAATCATCCACTCGTGTTGCAAATGTCCATTCAAGGAAAGTCCGCTGAGTACGGAAACATTGTTAACAACGCATTTTCTGTTGAAACCTGTCTTTGATACAAAGACAACGCTCTAGATTTCATGTGATTCAGAGCTATCTGAGTCTCCAACAACGATGGATGCGATGCACGGACAATTAAATGCAGAGGTTGCAAAGATCCGAGATTGTCTAATCGGAGAAGAAGAGAAGCAAGCCATGGGTACTCGCAGAGCAACAGGAGTTCTTCGAGGTGGATCGTCACGCAAACCAAGCTCATGGGTACAGACAACCCAGACTGTGGAGAATACTTGTACAGACAATCCTCCATTCTCTGGGCTTTATGCAAAATGACCAAAGAAATCCATGCAATCCTTCATTCTCTGGGCTTCGGATATCCGCTTGAGAAGTATATGGTCCGGACAATTTGATTCGATGTGAGACCCAATCAACCAAGGAGAAGTGGACTTGCCAGAAAATAGTGGTTCAAAAAGTAGGCCGGGGAGAATGCCCCACTTAGCAAGTTCTAGAGGTCAGTGAGTTAATATTGCAAGTGGACATTAGTTTAATTTAGTACTACAAGAGAGTTGGTTTCAAAAGTAATTGTATTGATTTTTGGAAGTCACTATTAGTTATTTTTTGAAGCTATTATTGTAAGTCCAACTTATTCAATTACCTAAAAGAATATTAACTAGAATTGTAACTACCCAAAACTAAAAATTGTGCATGTCTTACTACATCTAAGGAATTGTATCATCCTCTTCATAGCAGTAGTCAATGATGCTAGCCACAACTACTATGGATCAAATATTGGTGCTCATCTTCAAGGTAATAACAATATGAATAAAAACTTTGTTATTAGACCTATGAAGCTCAAATTTTGAAGCAATATGATGCTACAAAATCTCCCATCTATAAGATGGAAACCATCTTGTGCAATTGTTTTGAAAAGAGTGTAATGTAACTTATAGCACAATTTAAACTATCACAACTAACTTCAATACTTGTAACACTCAAACTCAAGTAAATTTGTCAATTGTCTTAAAGAGTGGAGGATATACCTTGTCCATGCTACTTCACTCGGGCTTGAACATGCAACTACAAGTAAGCAGAAAATCATCTTTTTTGAACTAAAATCAGATACACTTATGAAATGTGACTCATTCCACAAATGATTCTTTATTTCTTTATTGCTCTGGTGTAATCAAAGAAAAGGGAAGCACTCCCTCAAATAGTTACTTAAACAATATGTATGAAGAAGATGATATAATTTCTTTGATGTAAAAAGACGTGAAGATAATTTCTTTTTTGAGCAATTTTGATTTGAAGAAGTGTAAATAGATGAAAGAATAGAAAGTGCATACATATATATATATATATATATATATGTACAAACATAAGTAATGAATTTATATTTGTTTGACTTTGATTTTTTTTAATTAATTAAAAGTATTACAAAAAAAATCTAATAATAAATTTATATACAATATGTATGTATATGTATATATATATATATATATATATATATTCAAATATCTCTATATATATCCTACTCATGATTTAAAATAATAATTTATTTTTGTTGCATTATCAATATTATGCATTGTATCTTCTTATACATCAAAGACTTACTTTAAGATATTATTTTTGAAGAAGAATACAAGATTTTTATTCTAAGATATGTAAATATATATATATATATATATAAAATTATTAATGCCATATCTTCAATTGATACCACTACATCCTACGTGATTAGGATCTTTTATTATTATTGTTAAATATATAGACTAATTTTTATTTTTATTTTTTAGAAAAAAAAATTAAAATATAATTGTGTGTATCTATAAATATAACTTTATATATATAAAGTTATGTATACTTTATAAATCTATTTTAAAGTTAAATTATCTTTAAATTTAAGTTATATTATATTTATAAAAAACAATTATACATATTTATAGACTAAGATATAGATTTGATATAATTATGAATTTAATCTTTAAATTTTTTTTATCAATTATTCTTATGTTATTCAAAAAGAGAATCAAATAAATTACATATTCATAAAAATTATATATCTTTAAAATTTCGAGTAAAAAATTGAAAAAACGTTATGACACACAAGAAAATAAAAAGAAATTTATTGAAATTAAACCTATTGGATGATTAAAAATCTCATAGTTAGCTACATATTATTTATTTTATAAAATATATATATATATATATATATATATATATATATTTGGTTTTTAATTTTCTATTTTTTTAACCATTTTTACATCTTAGAAATAAAAAAAACTAGAATAGGTATGTAATAACTTTTAATATTAATAAATTTGAAGAAAATTATTAGATAAATATACTTATATTCCTCTTTAACTAAAAAATTGTTATTTTTGAGTTAGATTTTAATTTTGAGAGAGTTTTTTTCATGATATTTGGGTATATATATATATATATATATATATATATATATATGTTTGTCACTATTTTTTAAAATTTATCACTATTTGATAGTTTGAAAATTTATTTAAAAAGTACAAAATAGTGTAATTATGGATAATTCCACGCACTTATTGTTCTTGAACAACATTGAACAAAATTGAGATTGTTATTATGATTGTCAAATTCTATGTCATTGTTAATAGCAGGGAATGTTGATTCTAGTTGCTAGAGATACTTGAATTAGTTGCATGGTCCTAAGATCAAACATGGTGGCCTGCTCAATCATTTGTTCATACCACATACATGTTTTGACCATAGCTTGACATCCATTCATGGATGAAAAATAAAAATTCCCATAATACAATTTAGGTATCTAATCCTCTCAGACCCTCCTTGCCTATGACACGTTTCTTGCTCCAAGTTAGTAAATAGATAAACAAAACAAGAAACAAGAGATTTACATAAACATATACCATTTTATCATCTCTAAATGTCATTTGTAGTAGAGCCTAGGTTTATGGTTACAGTCATAATCTAGAATTGTGAAGTTTAATATTCAAATCCCGAAGTTACTAATGCAATTCATTTGTTTTTAATATTCAATTCTTCTCTATAGAAATTTTATGTTACCATGCTCTTCTATCCTCAATTGGGTTGTAGGTATCAACCCACATTCTTGTAGGTTGATCTCATTGACCCACCTTCCTATGGGCAGCATTCATCATTCTTTTGTAGCTAGTCTGAACACACTAAATGTTTTTAAAGTTGGTCCAGAAAATTTCAAGTCTACCCAAATTGTTAAGTCAAAATGAGCATCCTTTTCAAAAAGTAATATTTTTTAATTACCTTTTCTGGGAGTTATTTCTTTGAGGCCCACCATCTCCAACCACCCGCTCTCCAAGTCTCTCCCACCCGCTCTCCAAGTCCCTCCCACCCGCTCTCCAAGTCCCTCCCACCCGCTATCCAGGCTCCCTCACCCGCTGTAAATTCTGCCACCCGCTGAGCGCCGAGCAAAGGGATTAACCAGACGCGACGATGCAAGGATTTGCTGAAAGATCATTGACAGATCATTACAGCGCAGTCTGGCTCTCGCACCCACACAGGGCCAGTCTGCAACATGTTCGTTCATTGGAGCTTGAGAATTATGCGACACCCACACTAACACTTGAAATCGAGTTGCGATCTTGAGCTCTGACTGCGGTCTTGTTGAACTCTCCAGGTTCGTTGCTTTTCAAGGGACAATCGGAGGCCACTCACCATGCGGACAGGTTCGAGCGGCTGTGTCGGTGCCCCTTCGATAGGTTCGCTGAACTCCACCGAGAGCTTCAAGGCCATGTCCAGGTGGAAATTGTTGCGGAATATCTTCACTTGTACACGAATTTTGTGGAGGTTTTTGGGTCAACAAGCTAAAAACATTCGAATTCGACTAACTGTGGGTCAACGCTTAGGTTTTGTTGAGAATCCTATCGTTGCAGGTTCTAATCCAAGTCCAGGTTCTGATGGTGTACCAAGTGGAAGAGCTGGTCTGGAGGGTACGAGGCGAACTGATAAGTCGCGCCGCCCGGTCGATTGTGGGGAGCTACCAGTTGTTTATTCGGACGCACGCCGATCTGCGAAGACTCATGTCTCACAGAATTCGAGTAGTTCTGAGAGGCAGCATTGGATGCAACGCACGCCTCCTCCATGGGAAACATTTGCTTCGCAACAATCTCCTGTGAAGATTGTTATTTATAATGTTGCGCTGTGGTCTTTGGTCTGCGACCAGCATTCCACTGACCATGTTGACTGGGGGGACTGGAAATTAACCATTGACAGCTTGTCAGGGACACAGTCGCAGAAAAATGTGACATATGTCTCCATCGTGATGTTCCAAGCTGCGTCGATTGTGCTGTTTCGAGCCGCCTACTTCTGGCTCAAGTTTAGAGAAAGCGTGTGTTGCAGTTCTTTCGAATCTCGGAAGCGAAAGTTGAACGAAGTGCAAGATGAGGTGAACGATCACTTGTTAGCTTCCAAAGTCATCTCGAAAGGAATATATTGCAGATCCAAAAAACAGAAGGATGGCACAACAACGTACATTTATGAGCCACGATTCAAGCCCCCTAGAGAGAGACAACCACACAGTGGCGCGTCGCAGCAGTCCGGTTGGATCTACGTTGGTCAATACGACTCTCCTGAGGAAGCTAAAATTGTTTACGAGATAGCTGCATTTTTCTACGGGAAACCAGTGAATGGAGGTCGTCTGGAATTTGGCTCCACTTCCTTTGTGATTCCCCCCATGAGTGAGCAAGATTGTCGCAAATGTGATGAGGACAAGAGAAAATGGGTGAAAGATAAAACGAAGGAGGTCTATGAAGACTTCAAGAAGTTCAAGACGTCCAAGCTTGCGAACATGGCCAACAGAATTCTGGGAAGCAACTTCGATGAGAGAAATGTTGCAGCTGGGGACTCAGATGACGACGCTCGTTCACCTTTTGGGGCGTCGCAGATCCTTGCAGATGACAATGTCCAGCCCCCACCATTGCATCAACTGTCGGATTCCATGCTTGAAGATATAATTGCCGATCCTATATCATCCCAGGCTTTGTACCGCGAAACAGTATTGCGTCTATTAAATTCGAGCGACACCCAGGCAAAACAGTTTTCAACTGCTGAACCAGATTCAGTTCCGGCTTTGTCTTGGGCAAAGATTTTACAGCAACTAAGCTCTGTCGAAGACCAGACAAGTCATCTTACAATTGATGAAATACTCGAAAATCATGGTCCACAACCATTTGAAAGCGCAGGTCATGGGCCTCAATTGTTGAGCCCTATTCTGACCGCTTTTCAAGCAACACCGCTTGGATCGATCTTGGGCCATGCCACACCCTGTGACCAATTCAGTTTCCACCAAAGCAATCCACAAGAAGATGCCCTTCAAAGCCAAGTGAATTGCTTTCAACAATTGGTTAATTATCAGAAGCAACGGCTTGAAGATTTTGCCATCCAGAAGGAAATTTTGCAGCAACGGGTCGAATATTTTGCTAATAAAAATGAGTCGCTCCAGAAGCGGCTCGGAGAATTCATGACACATATTTTACATCTGCAGCAACGTCTGAGTGAAGCAGAGGCACACAATCAGGAACTGCGATGTGAGATTAGGTGCTTGAGATACGGTGGTGCAACGAGCAATGCAGCCTGAGTTCATGGAA